ATGGTACATTACCTCGAAAATAGCCAACCAATATTGCAGTGAACGCGTGTTCAAACCTATGATCGTGAGTTTGAATCATGGCTGTGCACCAATTTCAATTTTATTTGTCCGGTTTCGAGCCGGACTGATCACCTCGTCCCTAAGGTTTAGATTGGAGCTTGCGCCACTGGAATATTTTATAGGTATTTATGGTTTATAGAACAGAAAACGGACTGGAGGCTCGTCGGATGTTAAGTGATATCGCCGCCCATGGACACTCACGATGCCAGAGGGCTCGCGAGTGCGTTGCCGTCCTTATAAGAATTAAATACTTCAGTGGGCTGGTTCCACATAGCGGTGGTGCGGCAAAAACTGCCTTAAAATGAATGTTAGAAATTATTCAGTCGTTTGAGAATACTAAACTAACGTATTTTATTATGTTATCATAACTTTGTTGGAGCTTTCGTGGGCACATGAATATTGTAATAGGATTCCGAAAAATAAAAACATCAATAAATATATCTATTTTATTTGTCAAAGTCTTACCGTACCTTAAGACAAGTTTAATACATAATTCATCCAACTTTGTATTGATAAAAAATCTTAAATAATCTTATTTACAAAGATATTTACAATAGCTACGAAGTTTAAATTGGGTGCTAGTTCAACTTCTATCGTGTAAAAATGTATGTACATGGTAGAATTATTAAATTCAGTTCATCTATTAACTAAATTAAACTGAACACTGATTATAAGGTACAAAGATCTACCGCTTATAAGATTTATACAATTATTGGTATCTTAAAAATACTTAATACTAATCAAAGGAAAACCATCTTAAATTAAATAAATTTATGGAATACAGCGCAAATTATGTTATGTTAAATGTTATGTCTATGTCAAATTACATGCAAAACTTAAAATATTTTGTTTAAATAATAGTGTTTCTTACAAGTTTTGAAAGACAATTATTCCAATAAAAAAATTAATTAGTGCCGCTACAACCTTTTTAGGTCTGGGCCTCAGATTTCTGTATCTGTTTGTCAAAGACATGTAGGTAATCAGCCCCGTGTGCCTCAAAAACGCCGTCGACACTTTTATGTCTAAGGCAAGCCGGTTTTCTCTCAATGTTTTCCTTCACTGTTAGAGCGAATGTTAAGTGCGCACATAGACAGAAAGTCCATAGGTGCACAGCCCGGGATCGAACCTACAACTTGAGGGATGAGAGTCGCACGCTAAAGCCACTAGGCCAGCACTGCTTTATTCCAATTCCCACATCATATACTAAACCCTTTTTGATTCATCCATAAAAGAATAAGTTAATGTATTCATCTGCGACCGTCTTGGATCGGCACGACTACCATCCGACTCCTCTCATAAAAGATAGCTCTTTGGTTGGGAATTCAAAATCAAGTCTACTATGGTTACAATAATACAAATCACAGTGTTTTTCAAATGTAACATATCACGATTAAGATTATATTTTTCTGTAAAAAAATTGTATGAACATTAAACAGATAATGAAAACTAGCACGGAATCCATACTAACATTATAAAGCCGATTTAAAAAATGTTTTTGTGTTAGTTTATCGAGTGTTTAGGCTTTATAACGCGCTACTAAATATACAGAGAGCGGAGCATGAATGAAACATGTTGCGAAAAAGGGAAAATTATTCAACTTAAGGTGAATAGGGAGGGTAGGTGAAAAATCATGCATGACGCATATGTTACGGTGGTCAAAAACCAAGCGCGCATTTATAATGTGACGAACTTGGGGACTATATATAAGGATGAAAGGTTAATAATAATCGTACTTAATATTGCAAATATAAGAATTCTATTCAGGTTGAAGAATTGCAGTCAATGCAACACTGGTTTCTTAAATTAAAGGACCTTCTAACCTTAATCTATTCCATATAGTATAAAAAAGTTTAATATTTTTAATACGTATTCGCTCGTTTTTGATATCTGTATTACATAATGATGTTTGTGAAGAAGGAAATAGATACAACACAAATACAAAGTTAAAATAAGAGAATTAGTTCTTTTGCGTCACAGATAAAAGGTTTAAATAACTTTTTACTACATTCGACATAAAATTGTATTATATGCTTACGAGCACAGATATCTACGCCTCGTAGCAGTTATCACTATTGTTTCATAAAGAAACCGGGCGTCAAACGCTGTATAAACACTTCTATTCTAAGCATATTTACATTTCAATTAAGATCCTCAAACCGTAGGCTTTCAGTTTGTTTTTTAAAGTGGATAACTCCGACCCCAAGTTATGATTTTAAAACACTGAATTTTACCGAGGGTAGAATAATATTTGTTAGCTTTTTGTCTAGAGTCAAGAATGCGGAATTTTTGTATTTCCGTATTTTGTATGCGTAATACTTGGCTTGAGGTACTTAGCCAGAACAACAACCGTAAAACTTACTCGTACAAAATGTAAGCATTTTTTTAAGGGCTCAATTTCTTCGGGTAGAACAAGTCGATTCGAGAGCCGAATTTAATATTAAAAAACCTCGTTCTATGGGGTCTATGACCAAAAATCGGTTAATACTTATTTATGAATTGTAACACCGTGTAAAGAATCGTGTAAGTCAATTTTCCCAGTAAGAACATATCTAATTGTAGATCAGCGGAAATTGTACTAGAAAGTGAAAATTCAAGTACAACAAATCTTTTAATGTGGAAACGCATCTAACACATTATGGAAGCGAGGCGAGGGAAATGTTATTTTAAGTGGTACATTCAGATTGATTAAATATTTAAAAATTCCATCAGCCATATAAAATAGGCATGCAAATGTCATATTAATCATCAAAACGTCGTAATCATAAGTTATGAATAATTGTTGTCAAAACTTTTGGTTACGTTATAAATACAAAAACGTACTAAATTAAAGATGTATTACACTCGTGGGTGTCAGCTAGTTAAGTATCGAATTATGTTCGAAAAGGGTGAATTTGCGCGACCTATTCTCGATATATTAAATTACTTTCAATTTGAGGGTAAAAAGATAATTTTATATGTAGGTAGAACGAAAATAAATGAGGCGAAAGAGGTCTTACATGGGCGCTATTGATCTTTTTTGTGACGCTGAATTGATTTTGTATGGGTGTTTCCTTTTGCTTAGGGATTTAATGTACAAAACAGGAGTTTTAGAAGTACGTGTCTATGGTGGTAGGTCCAAATGATGAATTAAATTTTCAAGTGAACATATCTTGATCAAAATATGTGATTTGACAGAAAGTTAGTCATGTGTTTTGAAATGATTCTATGAATAGTGGATTATCTAAGAGTAGGAGGTAGGCGCTCGCGGAGTAAATAGGAGAAGATATGCCCATCTCCAAACTCCTTATATTGCACCGGAGGTTTCGAGCGTAACAGTTATGCCTTTTAAGCCCAGGAAGAATGTGAGAGCGACCCCGGAGCCTGTTACGCAGCCTTGTAGGAACCACTCGAGTTGGTTTTAGTAGATATTGCTCGCCTAGTCTCTGAATAGCAGAGATTCTGTGTGTGGCAGGGACACTGTCTGGGGCAGGGGTGTGTGTGCTAGAAGCTAGAAGATTATACAGCTTGCATCATGCCATATTTATGTTTTCTTGTATTGCTTTTTATAAGACAGAGGGCTAACAGGCGTCATCTATTTTTAGGTGAAAATACCGCCGTAAATGAACACATACACTGCCAGTGAACATAGAACGAACCCACCATTGCAGGTTTTAAGAGTCCCAAGTAATACCCAATTATCCGAGTTGTATTGGTTCGGGCATACCTCGACGCGCAGAGGTGATGGAGTGGAATTTCATAGTGATTGAATGCAAGAAATTTAGTAGAGATTTATGTGGTCTAAAAATGGAACATCGGACATAGTGAGTTATTGATGTCAGAATCCTTGTTTATGTAAATTGAATGAAATATAGAAAGGTCATAAATATAGATAATAAATTCTTCTAGAGATGCTGTCGGGAAAATTTTTAACGGATCATTCCCCTCTCGTTTAGCTTAGCAATTCGTTGCAAGCTTAACGAATCGTGAATTGTAAATTTACCAGTTACAGTGCAGTTTGCTTAGAGAAATATATAGAGAAATAGTTGCGGGCAGTGGATCTTTTAAGTTTGATTGGATAAATTTAATTATTACTCTACAATTATTGTTCACGTAAAGTCAGAGGTTATTTTAAGATAACGATCTTTACATTTTACATTATTTTTTTGTTATTCTCAAAATAAAATAAATGTTTCAATTTGTGTACTTTATTTATCTTATAACTTTATGAAGTACCGTACCGTGCATCACACACTCCTATACTGATGTCCCTTTGATTACTATTAGGTTCCTACATATGAAATTGGCGTTTTGTCCTACTGGCCACTTCGACCTCAAATATCTCCTCTTTGGTTAGGAACTCCAAATTCAATTTTTTACAGCTATTTACTCGTGCATTTGTTTCGAAAACCATGATTCATTTCATTTTTCCGTTTTAATTTTTATTTGCGTCACTCTATTTATAAAATAGAAAACATGAAATATCGCGTTGGAAATTTGGATAACTTCTTGCAAGGTAAAAAATTCAACTCTCAGTCGAAACCGCCTACAAAGATTGCATAGATTTCAGTAAAGGGATCAATAAACTACATATAAGATGGCAAATGTGCATAGATAGCAATGATACATACTTTGATTAATTAAATATATTCCATTAAAAAAAACACCTTTTGTTCCTCCGATACAAAACGCCAATTTCAAATGTAAAGACCTAATATTTTTCTCTCATTTATCCGTTGCTAGGCAAGTATAAGCCATCGTTGTTTTAAATGGGATTGCAAATTAAATACAAGTATAAAGAGATGGTTTTCTGTACGTCTTATTTTATTAGAGCGAGAATTATGCAAGTAGCCGCGTATTGTCGATTTTTCAAAAATCGAATAAAAAGAATAGAATTAAAATTGTACAGTTAGTTACATTTTTACACTTCATGCTGAATGATGCATTTACAATTTTTGTAATTTTCATCTAATTCCGTCTACCGTACTAGTGTATAAAGTAGCTAGAGTACAATATAGAGAGATTAGAAGATTAACCGACAGTGCACAAGGGGATGCTGTGTTTGCGTTGCCATGTTGCATTGCTGCTGGGTGCTCACCTGAAACAAAGATTATCAATGAGAATGAAGGACAGGTATCACATTTTTCTTTAAATTAATAAGTCTCCATAAACAAGTATATTTATTATATTTCAGCTGCCGTACCCTGTAACTTAATATAGTATAGTGAATTAGTGTTAGTGCAAAAAATAACGCAAGAACAAAGTGTCTCCAAAACACAAGTGAATTGAGACTGAAAGCAGTGTCATTCGTCTATGTTAAGTATAGGTAAGATTTCAATTACTAGACTAGGTTATAATATCCAATGTTTTAGTGAAAACATAATTTAAAAAAATAATACCTTTAAATTATTAGATCACGCATGGTCACCATTATACATATACCAACAAAGAAGAAGGAAAGAAGTAGAAGAAGTTTCCAACCTCAGATTTCTGTATCTGTTCCGTGATCATTTATAATAAGCAAGTAGGTGATCTACCTTCTGTGCCTCACACACACCATCGAATTTATGGCCTAAGGCATGCCGGTTTCCTCACGATGTTTTCCATCACCGTACGAGCGAGTGTGACGAAGAAAAATCGTCGGACCCTGAGGTCTTTCGTAACACACACGCTTAAGTTACTATGCCAACACTGCTGTACAAACTTAAATAGGAGAAATAATATTCTCCAGGCTACAGCTATATTTTATTTTAAACCTACAGCAGTTTCATTCATTAATACAGGTTAGGAAACCATTAACAAACACAGCGGCGTGAGTTAGTCTTTTTAAGAGACATTTCAGTTTTCAAAAATTTTATTAAAAAAAAGAGTGGCGGAGAGTTTATTGCCAGTTCTCCTCTTCCGTTCTACGCCCTTGATTTGAGAACTGGCAGTAAATGTAAAATTAGAAGCATTTAATGTATTTTTTTACGGTCATAAGTGTATGAATAAATGATTTTTGACTTTGACTTTGATCCTGAAAACTATCCGATTAGAAAACCCATTATATGGGACTAATTCGCTGCAAATCTGAATGATTTGACACCTTGAGAGTTTCATGATCTATGCTTTGAAGATACAAAAAAGTCACCTTTTTTCTTGTTATTTTATAATAGAACAGGGAACACCGGCTCACCCGATGTTAAGTTTTTTTTTTTATTCCTTTATTTTACAAAATAATATAATACAATCATAATATTATGTTACATTAGAAAACCGCTGTGGTTTGTATAAATGTAACCATAGCAGTCTTGTTTAGGAGCGCGACAAATGCATATAAAAGAAGTTTTTTAATTTACTTTTTATGTTGGTTGGCGTTAGGCAATCTAAAATTTGATTACCATTCCATGACCATTTATTAGCCGCGGTAACAAATACCTCAACGTTCTCTCGCCGTATACGTTGTTTGCCCTCGATGTACAGAGCCGAACTTGTGTTACCGCTCGGGTCTGTACGTCATGCTCCACTCGTTTTTTTATGTCATCTCGAAAAAAGTGCTCGACTAGAAGACATTAATATTAACTTTTTCTGATATAGGCAATATTTTACAGTGTTTGAAAACTCCTCTTTCTTCATTTTTATATGAGTTCTCTTCATTTCTCGAGACAACGTGTTTGAGGATTCGCATTAGGATGTTATATATTCGGCTGAGATACGTTGGATAAGTAATAAGTTCTACCGTAGCTACTCAGACCGTAATTGATGACTGACTCGCAAAGCGCGTTGTAAAGTGAAAGTTTAGTTTTAAATGGGATACGCTTTTTGAGTATTGTTATTTGTGCCAAAAACTGTCGTAGCTTACGCCTTTAGTACACCTACGCGTTCGAATGCGGCTGCGAATCTTTGCGAAATAATTGCGGTAGCGAAATATCTGCGGAACGTTAGTACACTGCAGGTTTTTCGCAAGGAACATATCCTTGCGAAAAACCTGCATTGTAGCTTTCGTGTGCTGTAGGTGCAGACGTCGTTTCAGAATGTCATCTGAGTCGTCCCAGTCGTCGCTTTCAGATTCTGAAGACGATTTTGAAATCAACATGCCCAACTAAATATAATTCGGGATAATTTCGAATCAAATTCAATAATAATTCAATATTTTCGGCTTCCATTATGCGAAATTCTGTCCTCACTGACAGAACTCGTGGTGACGCCTTGCGATGCGAAACTCCAGTAGCGAAACGTCTGCGTCTGTGTAACAGCCATTTCGCAGTTACTTGCGAAACAATACCGACAAGGACGCAACTATTTCATCTAGCTATATATTAGAGCGAGACAAAACACATGCGAAACGTTGCCATACAACTTACAGTTTTTTCGTCGTTTCGCTGCCGAATGCTATGGCGTAGGTGTACTAAAGGCGTTATCGCAGACGTATTCTATGTGTTGATTCCAATGCATGTTTTTGTCTATAATTAATCCGAGATATTTTTGTTTATCAACTATTTGTATAAGTGATAACGCCACCCATGGAATCTCTAAATGTTGCTTACGCCTTTTAAGCCTTTTAAGAATTGCTACGCTTTTTTCTTCGACCCAAAGTCGAATTGGTCAGTTGTGTAGGACGTCCTCCTTCGTTTTTTTCGTCGGTTAAAAGGTTACGCCCAGATTAATATACTTGCTGTTTATCCGTTTCCGCCCAGGTCAACAAAAAGTTAAGTCGTTATGATTTATGATTTTAGGGTCCAAACCATTTATTCTTTACCTTAAATAAGACAATAAACGCGTTTTGTCATGCTAATTATACAAAATGACCTAAGTAATCCATTGAATAAAACTCACCTAATTATCTCTAATCTTAAAAGCTTTGCAAATTACGCTCATTTATCGACTTCATTTAAATAATACAAATTTATCTTAGTTTAAATAAATCAAGGTTGTTGAATAGCATTAAATTACAATCGTTAATTCCGACATGAAATTGAGGTGAGTTGCACCATTTAGATTTATAAACGAGTATACTCGATATGTTTTTTTTTTAAATAAAAAGGCTCTTTATTTACTATGCCTGATATAATGAAATTGACGATTCTGAGTAGTTTTGAGTTCTACTGTAACAGCTTTTTTAATGGCAATGTGCCTTTATGGCGTGGAGAGTACTTAGACCATAAGTTTTGACAACAATTTTAAACTTGTTCTTATTATTATGACATTATGATAATTAATATGACAGTGCATTCCTATTTTTTATGTTTTTTTTTATAATCAATAAATCTGAATGCACCATTTTCTTTGCAAATAAACGATTTATTATTACTAGCTTTAAAAGTGTTTACCGCGTCTGTCTTTCATCGTCTGTCATTACTTAAAAGGAAAATTATTTTATTATACCTACCCGCTATTCTCAATCAACAATTTTTTCTACATAATTAAAGCCAAAACCACCAGGAGTTCTGCCATTCGGTAAGGTCAAATACTTCTATAAATAATCGTAGTTTTGAGTGTTATTGTGGTACGTGTTATGCAAGTATTTTTTCGTCTATGTAAACGTAAAAGACAGAGCCACCAAACACATTTTTGTAATATAAAAAAAAGTCTCCCAACGCAGTACTTACTACCGTAAAAAGTTGTGAGATCCAAGTAATACCAAGTCGGTTAATTCAGTCCATAGTTAAGGGAACTTCAGTCTTAAGTTATTACGTAATTAGTTAACCTAACAATATCTTATAGCGACAATACCAATATTACAAGTCTTCTCTTTATTTATACCTATTATTAAAAATTCAGGCTTCTAATTTTATCAACAACGAAGTTATAAAGAAAATGGCCTGAACTGCTTTGAGAAAAGAATAGTACGGCCGTGCCGCTTCTTTTCTCGACTTGGCTAGCGCACTGCCGTGCTCGCAGTTACGCGACTCAATGAGTTTTACCAATCACAATCAAAGGAAACGAGACATCCGACGCCGACTTAGAAGACCGTCAAAACACTTGCAAGCTTTCAGGCAGTGTCTGTTGTTACTGACTATATTATCAGGTATTATTAATACTATATTGGGGTATCACTAGGCATCAGGTGAGAAAATACCTTTCGTCTTTTGTTTTTTTTTATTTTTGACTAATACAGCTAAGCTATGGGACGCGATTGCTGCTGAAAAAAAAGCCCTTTTCAGAATTCTAATTAACATCAACTCTCATACATATTCAGATGTTCTCGCAAAAATAACCTGTATTTGTACAATTTTATTGCGACATTACATAAATATACGCCGTTAAAATAACATCGTACATGATATTTTATCGTTGTTGTGTTTTTCGTGCATTACTTTAATATCACGATTATGCTTGGCTGCCTCTAAATATCCTACAGGTTTAAAAATAATGAATCATCGGGTGTTATCCAAGGGAGACAATTGGGTATCAATCATTTCTATTAATATAGAAATGAGTTACGGGCAAGTAGAACACTTTTGTGACACGAAATCAATTTTTTGGCTGGGAATCAAACTATATAAATTAAAATTTTAAAACTATGCAGTCGGCCAGACACAGCTACGAAAGCGGGGTTATCAATCAATAGTGTCCAAGTATAGGATATTGTTTTACGTCATGTTAGTTATAAGTTTGGGAATTACTACGCTTTACCCATAGTTCCCATAGGTATATTATCGTATGGTGCAATCAAGCGAAAATAAATATAAACTTATATTATATTAGCGAGCCCGACAGACGTTGTTCTGCATATTTCAAGCGATTAGGATATTAAACCAAGTATGAAAGTACCGACTGCAGCGCCATCTGCCGGGCTGATTTGTGAATCTAAACCATCCGGGGCGCCACCCAAACGCATCCAAAAAAATTCATTCAAATCGGTCAAGCCGTTTAAGAGGAGTTCAGTGACGCACACGTATAGTAGGTATAGTATTATATATAACGATAACGCGTTTATTTATTTTAAATACAATTAAGTCTGTCAATTTGTCAGGTTTCTCATTAAGACTTTTAAAGTATTAACTTAAAGGTAATTATTTATTATTTTTCCAAATATTTGTTTCAATAAACATCTCTTGAGCTAACTGAAAAATTTAAAAATGTTTTGATATCGTGTCAAAACCGGAGTTTAGACTCCAAAAAATTTACTACTCGATTTTACTTTACTCTTAAAAGTATACCAAAATATTCCTTACCATTAATAACATGTACATTGACTGACGCAGACTCTGCCATAGTTGGCACACAGCTGTAGTTCCCGCTGTCAGTCGGTAACAGCTTGCTGATCGTCAACCTAGAAGTGAGCTGTTCCGTCCATTCTGTCTTCAACCGGACCCTCGGTTGTTCCACAATGTCATTCGCTTCAACCTCCTTGTATTCTATTATATTTGATCCTGTTAACAATGAATATTTATTATGTGTATGTTTTGATAGACTTTTAAAATTTAACTTTAGCGTAAAATAATACTTCCAATGCCTGTTAAAATTATTTACCTAGATACTTATATTAGAGATTATAATAACGTGAATGCATAAAATTAAGCAACAAATTTTACAAACAAATATAAAAATTACGTTAAGTTGGAAGATTGTTGAAAAATATCACTATCTATCTCGGACTATAAAATATAGCCTTTTTTAGATTATATGCTTAGATATATATGACGAATCAATAAATATTTTGTTTATGCGGTTTTTATCAAGACATATTAGAAAACAAATTATATTATGTAACTTTCTTCCAAAGAATATTGTTACTATCTTTTGAAACATGATTTTTTGATTCAATTTGAACTAAATCTTCTAATAAGAAATAGTGTTTTTTATCAGATGAATTGCATGTGTATAAAGAACATAGCTTTTATATTATATTCCTTCAAGACTGATTTTGTTCCATTTGGAGTAGACATTTGTGGGGTTCAAGTGCACAGATGCTAATTAAAGACTTAAGTTGTTGCTTCGTAGATAGTACCGGTGACCCCAGATCTGGTGCTTACCTCGCTCAACAAATAAGCATCGCAATACAGCGAGGAAATGCTGCCAGCGTTAAAGGTAAGTTTGTCCCTGTGGCAGTGTCCCTTTTTCTATTTATACATTTTTAATTTTTTTATTAGTATGTATGTTAAGAATATTGTAAATACTGTAGTGTGTTGGAAATACTGGATAAATAAAAAATTACGCCTCAAAGAATTTTATTTAGAAGTCTTTTGTTTTATTTGTAATTTACTTTTTACGTTCATGTGAAAATATATTGGAAAATGAGACGCTGGTTAGACAGCGTAAGCAGCTAAGAAGTAAGTTGGGATAATTTATTTTATATATTTGTATTTATAATATCTAATACTTCGGCTTTATTATCCATGCGTATCTTAACAAAGTCATTTGTATTAAGAAAATTCCTTAAGGTTGACTCCATTACAATACATTGAATGGCAAGAAATGAATTCCAAAGTAAAATATTCTATTGTACGAATTCAATGAGCTGAAGATATTGCTTAAAGGATGGAATATTAATTTACAATGAGAAAAGGGATGACAGTGAAATCGACTTCGGATTTTTGAAATTTTAACAGATTAGGATGCAATTTTTTCTTAGATCATAATAATGAATGAAAATTTTATTTTATTTATGCTCAACCATCACATATATTAAGGACAATCAAGCAGCCGAAGGCTGGCCATGCGTCATACTCGTGAACGGGTGCTACGTGTGGTGACTGGTCGGACTTGAATTCGTGTTTTCGGTAATGTTAGTTATATCGACTATGTATTTGCGTGTTGTTCCCACGAGAATGTAAGTGCGTGTTCCTATTTCACCATGCCTCCTGATGATAGTGGACAAATTTTTGGTGTAATTGTTGCAGCTCCTTACAAACGTTGTGTAAAACAAAAAACTTGGTGATTAGAAAGAGTAGCGGAGAGTTTATTGCCAGTTCTTCTCATCCGTTCTACGCCCTTAATTTGAGAACTGACAGACAGTAAAATTAGAAGCATTTCATATATATTTCTTTTTCAACGATCATAAATACATTGTGTTACCTATATGAATGAATGAATATGAAAAAAAATCATTTTGAATTGAACCCCGTAACCCCGAAATCATTCTGTATTGAAGTCGCATGGGTCCGTGAATAAGGTTTCTTTAGGCATTTATTATGAAACTTCTGCCTGACACACGTCGTATTTTAGATCTAATAGCTACCCGTAGCTATTGCAATCTTTATTTTAACATAGGTTTAAGCCTTGAGTTTTAGAAGTGCTTGTTTAACTGGACTATAAGGTCAAAGGATACATTTTAGAATCGAAAGATAACTGCACTATAATTTTATTGAAATGACTCTTAGAAAATTATGACACTTAATCTACAAACAATTGAAAATGAACTGTATACTGTTCTAATATAGAACTGATATAAGCCAGTACAGTTCAGGTTAAAGTTAAATTACCAAATATATAAACTACGTAATCAGTCATCTTATTAGGTTATTTATTTATTTTTTAATAACTCTACAGCTAACAAAAATTATATATAAAAACATACAATTACACTTAAAATATAGCGGAATACGCGATACAAAACTGTGTTTCGCATAGTTAGTGTTGATTTGACGAACATAAAACAAAGCCCGATTACGAGTCTGGTAGGCAGGAACAAGGAAGGGCAATTTTTCTAGAAGGGAGATGCAATTCATTTTATTTGAGATGTCATCTAGTAGCAATAAAAGTCCCTTTAGGCAAGTTTCCGAAGATACTGGCAGCGTTCCCCCTTTAAATCGCTAGACTAATTCTTTGGCCGAGGTAGTTATGTAGACTAACCTTTTTGCTATTTTCAAATAATATATTTTATTAATTACATACATAATGTACATAACTTTTTAACTATACATGACATGTGAATAAAAGTTTATATGAGATAAATTTTCTAAATAGTTTCATTATAAAAGACAAAGTAGACAATACTGAAATACAAGCTCGTACTTATAATTAGTAACAGAACAGCGAGACGTTCATGAACGCCTACTTACATTTATCAGATATAACAAGATTAATATCAATTAACTACTTCAAGGGCCCTCAAACCTATCTCAATTTACGGAGCAAACATATGTCTTGGAATTAGACTGTTTGCACACGATATCCAAGGTGACTCTCCAAAAACCAATAACTTAAAGTTAATCAAATGTTGGAAAATGTGAATACAAGGGCATGTCTGAGTTTATTCAACTAGACAACTCGTTTTATATTACATGTGAACATAATGATGACAAATTAATTTATTACTCATAGCGATGAGATTAAACAATATGAGGTTTAAAGACATGTATTCCTATTATATATATCAGTGGCGCTACAAACTTTTTAGGTCTGGGCCTCCAATTTCTGTGCCTGTTTCATGATCATTTGTCAATCTTATAGGCAAGATCAGCGTACTGTGCCTGATGAACGCCGGCAACTTTTTGGGACTAAGGCAAGCCCTTTTCCTTGCGATGTTTTTCTTTACCGTTTGAGAGAATGCTAATGCGCACATAGAAAGAAAGTCCATTGGTGCACAGCCGGGGTTCGAACCTACGACCTCAGGGATGAGATTCGCACGCTGAAGCCACTAGGTCAACATTCCTATTATTATTATACTCTTTATAAAAAATAAATTTGTATGAAGCAAAACCCTATTAAATAAGAAAGCTATACGTCTTAGCGATTTGTTTAGATACCAAAAACTCCATGGACTAACAAATCCGGACACATTTAAGAATATACGTTTTGTATTCCCGACGCCAAAATGGACTGTGTTTGGCCTAACACTTCTTTGCATTTTCCCTCTCCCTTTATAATAAACCGCCCAATTTTCAATCTTCTTAAATCAAATCCAATGCATTCTGAGTTTGTCACTATCCAGAAAAAAAAGGGGGGTACTTATGTTAACGCGTTAGGAGTTATACTTCTTTGGCGTAACAAGATAAAAATCTTTTCAAAATATTTATCTTTCGCCTTATTCTACATTTGTAGAAAAAACTACGCTAACAATAGAAAAAAAATACTCTCCTCATTTTTCCCTAACACGCCAAAAGAAGTATAACTTCAAAAAAAAAACTAAAATGTTGACTATAGCTAACTTCAGGGCGTGTTAACTAGATACCCACAAGACAGGGACTACTACTAATGGGAACTAGCGATAGACGAATTTTGTCACAACCGATTTTTGACATGAATTAAGTTTTTATTAGTTATTATTATTATTTTGAAATATTGGTCAGTTTTGGTCAGTCAGTGTCATACTGTTGGAATATTTTTATAGCCTGCAGGAGTCTGATGTTAAGCTCAGAGACAATCATGCAGAAGGGTGCGACCAGGCACTCGCGACACGTTATGAATTGATAGTCTATTGTGAAGGAATTTTATTGGGTCGCGCATTCCAAATTGGTGCGCAAACTATGCCCAAAGTTGTAAAAAAAATTATGCGCACGCGTCTTGAGAAAAATAAGGCAAGCATGTGCGTTTAACCTTAGGAGCAAAAGGGTATCGGTTGAAGCGACTCGCACAAATTTATGGTAATTTATAAAGTTTGAACGACCTATACTAATATATAATTCGATTATGGATTAAGTACGAAACTTCGAGTGCCCTTTAACCTTTAGGTTACTTAAAGCAAGCATATTTGTAATGTAAATATATTATTATCTATTCTAATAACTAGCTAACTAAACTAACTAACCTAACCTTTCTCGGCTTCAAACATTTTTTTTAAAGAAAAGGTGGCAAACGGGCAGGAGGCTCATCCGATATTAAGTGATACTGCCGCCCATGGACACTCTCAATACCAGAGGGGTCGCGAGTGCGTTGTTGGAATTGTAAGAAAAAGTTTAGTAAAATAATGGTAAAATGACTAAACACCCAAAAATACAAAACTAAAAACAATTCTCATTTCTGAGATCTCTGCTCTGTTTTATTTGGAGAAAAAATATTTTCAATTTTTGAGAAAAATCGGTACGAAGTCTTAGTTTAGATACTTTCAAATTATATTTATATTTTATGTACCGAGTTTAGTTTAGGAGTGAAATAATATATACATACCCTTATACCAGAAGATAGTACCGAGATCGTGAGGTCCTTGACTCAGAATGCAAGTGAGGGCCAGCGAGCTGCCAGTCTTTACGTACAAATCAGCTGGACCCAGAACATGTGCCTTGGCTTCTGTTGACAACACATTTTGTATATTAATATTATAAAAACATTATTTAATTTAATATATAGTATAACTAGCGACCCGCCCCGGCTTCGCACGGATGCAATGCTGATACTAAATTCAAAGTGCTATAGAGTATAGGGAGAACCGCGGCCTCCGACGCGCTGCGTCACGCAATTTTTAAATTTGTAATATCTTCGAAAACATTCAATTAAATCATATGCGGAAAAGGGCCATATAAATCTATATTAAATCAACAATGTATTTAAGGTATTTAATTGGATAAGGATTAATGCTGTATTGGTTAAAATCGCTTCGAAAATTAGCCATTATTTGTCGTAAAAAGTAAATGACAAAAAAATGTTATTGTGGGATATCCATAAGAGATAGACATATACCATAGCGGAGTTTTCTGTAGACTTTTTCAATGTGTACAATACTTAGTACATTATTTTGATAAATCTCGTAGGGTTCTAATGTAAGCGGAAAAATTTTAATTATTTACGATTTACGGATTACGACATCTCATTAGAAACCTCAAAAATAACAGTATTTCTCCACCCATATTTAATGGATGTTTTTATACATATAAACCTTCCTCTTCAATCACTCTATCTATTAAAAAAAAACCGCATCAAAATCAGTTGTGTAGTTTTAAAGATTTAAGCATACATAGGGACAGAGAAAGCGACTTTGTTTTATACTATGTAGTGATAAAAACATTACTACAAAACACACGAAACGTTGAAAACTTTTATTTGTGAAATTACAAACAAGGCCGCCATCTTGCTTATAATGACAGACAACGCCAATTTAAAAAACGAATACAGCGCTACAATACAGTTGTGTTAGCGTAAAAGCGTTCTCAAAAAACGTAGAAAAAGATTAGACGCTATTTATGAAGAGAAATGATTTATCATTATATTAAAACAACTTTTTTATACTATTAACTATTCTGTGACGTTGGCAACGATTAAGTAGAATCAAGATACAAAGTTCATTATTATTAATGTTCACTTGTTTTAAATTCATAATATATGCCGGAGCCTACACTACGCGCTCTGATAAAAAGTGAATATAATACTAGTGCATACAAAAGATATAAGATGGAAGGAATGGATACCATTGCAAGCTGAACAGTAACTTGCCTTATAAAGAAAAGTTTTTGGACGTAGAAATATAAGTGAGGGGCCCATTCAGTGACTTCAGATGTTATGGTTGCTTAAAAGCTTACATAAAATTGAATTAATGACGTCACAGTGACGTCAACTTACTTTATGACCAAGGTCGCTAATTAATTCGACTAAGTATTTCTTTGATGGCCGAATACTTTGGCCAAGGTGAAGTTCGAATTTTGCAGACATCTGAATATTATTAATTTTATAAAGAGAAAACAAATATATAAAAATACGTTTTCTCTCGTCTAATTGAAGTCAAACAAAATAATGACTTTTCGCCCATGAGTCGCCCGATCATAGAATTTATCTTTTTTTAAAGGCCAGCCCATATTGTTCGTGTAAGTGGTAAATTCTAAGATTGAAGTGCAACCTTAAAATAATCTATTAATATTTAAAACAAAACAAAATCCAGATAGCAAAAATTTAAAATTATAGAATGCTTCGGATAGTCTTTTACCCGTGTACATATAAATAATACAACATTTTTTTATTACTGTTAATGATTTGTGTCGTATGTATTTATGAAATAAAATAAAGCTATACTATTTTATAATAGGATCAACATGATTACAGCGCTTAAAAATTAAGACGTCCATAATATGTACAAAAATCATTATAAATAGAGTCTGTTACGTCTGTTTGTTACGTCTAATAATCGTAGATTGGTGGTAAACAGCGTGTTGGTGAAAGGAAAACATCATGGCATCGTAACGTAAGGGAGTGAACATATATTATGTATGTAGACAAGACACGATTCGCGAGAGTGACGGACAACCTCCAGGAAAAAGGCAAATAAGTTCTTATAAAATTACGCCAAGCGCCTAACAATAGTACCTACGCCTAAAGTGTTCAAGGAAAATTTGAAAGAGAGATTCTAAAGAGATATTGAAAGCTATTTTTAGCTACATTTATTTGTTTGTTAGTCAAAGTCAAGTCAAAGTCAAAAATCATTTATTCATACAGGTAACACAATTTACACTTCGTCAAAAAAGAAACATACAATAAATGCTTCTAATTTTACATTTACTGCCAGTTCTCAAAACAAGGGCGTAGAACGGAAGAGAAGAACTGTCAATAAACTCTCCGCCACTCTATTTAATCAGAGCAGAGTTGGCGTAGTGGCTTCAGCGTGCGACTCTCATGCCTGAGGTCGTGGGTTCGATCCCCGGCTGTACACCAATTGACTTTCTATGTACGCATTTAACATTTCCTCGACCGGTGAAGGAAAACATCGTGAGGAAACCGACATGTCTTAGACCCAAAAAGTCGACGGCGTGTGTCAGGAACTGGAGGCTGATCACCTACTTGCCTTATAGATTTAAAAAATGATCATGAAACAGCTTCAGAAATTTGAGGCCAAGACCTAAAGAGGTTGTAGCGCCACTGATCTTTTTGTTACTCTTTTTAATCGCCAAGTTTTTTGTTTTACACAACGTTTGTAAGAAGCTGCAACCATTACACCATGTTACACATGACATCTTAAGTAATTAGTAATAATAAAATAAATTAAAAACAAAGATTTTTCCTCTATCAGCAGGAGGCATGGTGAAATAGGAGCACGCACTTACATAGTCGTATTGATAATAATGTTGATAAAAGGAATTGTTTAATTTTTTAAGTTAAAACACCGCATAATAGAAATTTAAAATCAAAACCGAAAACAAAACGCTATAATTAATATCAAACAAAAGCTGGAACTCATTCATTCGGCGTGAAACGAGGCTTATTTAGATATAAAAGATAAAAATCTTGGACGAAAAATCTCTGGAAAAATAAAAAATCTTGGATAAAACGTGGTACAAATTTCAGATAATTCCGCACCACCTTTTATAGCTCCAACAATGTCATTGGACAATTTAATCTGTGCAAAATGTCGGCTTCTGCGTAAATGATATTGTATAAATTGCTTACATAAGTGCTTTGCGTTAAACATGTTTTGGTTATTTGCGTTTAATTTTTATTAAAAAAATCAATAAATCAGTGGCGCTACAACCTCTTTCGGTCTTGGCCTTAGATTTCTGAATCTGTTTCATGGTCATTTTTAAATAAGCAAGTAGATGATCAGCCTCCAGTGCCTGACAGACGCCGTCGACTTTTTGGATCTAAGACAAGGCGGTTTCCTCACGATGTTTTCCTTCACCGTTCGAGACGTAAAATACGCACATAGAAAGAAAGTCCATTGGTGAACAGCCGGGGATCGAACCTACGACCTCAGGCATGAGAGTCGCACGCTGAAGCCACTAGGCCAACACTGCTCACTATTTTTATTTTACCTCGGTATTTATTTCACATTGAAGTGAATACAATACGTAAGGGAATGGGGTTCAATGAACTGAAATCCGAAAGTATGAAATTATTCTTATGGGAATAGTAAACATTTGATAGACACGCCAAGTTTGTGGTTTGATAATAACGCTTTATGGGTATAGCTTACATATCTGAATACATATATTTATTTTTACTTTATAGGCAGGTAAGATCAGCTTACTATGTCCGAAACGATTATATAGTAAGCCTCTTTCCTATCTCTGACGACAAAATGTTTAACTGCGCACTTATATGTGTATATGTTAAAGACTTCTGAAATTCTGTCGTATCCTGTCTATAGATTTACAAATATAGTAGCTTATATTAGTAAATAACTTAGTATTTTTTGAAGTGAAACTTCTTTATCGAGGTTGGAAAAAAATTTAGTGTAACATTTTTTCGTTACGCGTCACAATTTTCGGTTACGCGCCATGTTGCTTTTTGAAGTCAAACTTCTTTATCGGCGTTGGATTGAAACTTCTTTATCGACGTATGGGAGAAATTTTGTAGCAAATCGTCACGTTTTTCAATGATAGTAATAATTCTATTACAATTAATGAAATTCTATAATAATCTTCGTAGTAATAAAGTAAAATGAAATATTTGTATTCGTCTATGATAATAAAAGCCTTATGTTAAACTTTATCTAATTTAACGAATTTCTGTAAAGTTGCATATAGTAGATCATTTTTCGAAAAATAAGATCATAAAGAAGTTTCACTTCTTACGTGTGTACACCTAGTACACGCACAATTTATTATTTATTATTTTAAATGTACTTTCATATAAACAACGTCACCACTATAATCAAAAATATTGCTGGAGCCCACGAACAAAGGCTCCATCAACACGTGAATGTCGAGGATATTCAACTTCTTGACAAAAGCATTCGATTTAGTGCATTAGTGTGAGTGCACGATAGTCTTAAGAGCTAAACAGTGGTGAATGGAAAAAAATAGTACACATGAACAGAGTGTCTTCCCCTTAATAGAGAATGTAGGTGTATTGGAGACTCTTATGTTTCAACGTTTTAATAAATTAGGTTAATTTTTAATTCCTTATTAGTCTTAAGTTAGGATACATCGTAATGTTAAATGATGTCTTTGTCCAGAGACAATTTATATTAATAAAACTTTCACTTGCTTTCTATTGACATTTTTCTATGGTTAATATGTAGTAAGGAGTTTAGGTAAGTTGAAAATTACAAAATGCATATGTAGTAACAAGTTCGGCAGTTAAAACTTAACAGCAAAGTAAACAAAAATCACGTAAATACTGAGCAGTGAAGTAGCTAAATGGGCAGTTACGTGTGGGCCCAAACCTAACCTAACCTAAACTGCCGAACTATATATCGAACTGCCCATTCCATCATTTTTACCGGCCATTTATTTACTAGTCTGCTTACGTATTTTTTGTACTGACAGTGTAAGACGAAATAACTGGCCAATTGTTTTATTATTACAGTCAATGTTTTACTGTCGCGCAAAACCAACCAGCAATAAAAAAAATACAATTTTTTCAACTGATGATATCACTTCTCGTATATTAAAATAATAGCACAAAAAATTAGTTATATACTTAAAATAAAATCGGTTCTACAACCTCTTTAGGCCTAGGCCTCAGATTTCTGTATCTGTTTTATGATAATTCGTCAATCGAAAGGCAAGTTGGTGATCCTGTGCCTGACACACGCTGTTGACTTTTTGGGTCTAAGACATGTCGGTTTCCCCACGATGTTTTCCTTCACCGTTCGAGCGAATGTTAAATGCGCACATGTTCACAGAAAGTCCATTGGTTTACAGCCGGGGTCCAACCTACGACCTCAGGCATGAGAGTCGCACGCTGATGCCACTTGGCCAACACTGCTCTGATTAAAAAGAGTGGCGGAGAGTTTATTGCCAGTTCTTCTCTTCCGTTCTACGCCCTTGATTTGAGAACTGGCAGTAAATGTAAAATTAGAAGCATTTATTGTATTTTTTTTGACGAAGTGTAAATTGTGTTACCTGTATGAATAAATGATTTTTGACTTTGACTTTGACTTGACTTTGACTAACAAACAAATAAATGTAGCCAAAAATAGCTTTCAATATCTCTTTAGAATCTCTCAAGCCAGGCCAATAAAGATACTAAATTAATTAGACGCGGCTTCTACTGATTTATTATATTATGAATGAATTGACAAAAAGCGAAAAGCGCCAAGCGATGTCTGAACTTGCAAGAAACTTTCCTAACGAATGAGGTAGCTATGAACTAGTTTCATTGTTTCAAACATAATACAATTTTATAAAATTAATTACTGCTCCACTTTTTAAAAGAAAAGCGACGAAACGTGTTATAATGCTTGTCTCTGGTGTTTGTTAGTTAAGTGCGCAAATGGTCTAAGAGGGACAGTGACTTAAGACATTTGGTTATGCGACAAAATTTTTGGGAAGCTTCGTACTTACCATTCTATGATTGTATTAATTTAATTAAACCAGCTTCGGACGGCTGGGCATTTTTTGGTAATAAATGTAAACTCAGGGATAATGCAGCGTCCTAAATTCAAACTTATATTTTTTTTAAATCAGTCCAGCAGTTAAGTTATTTCGTTATATACATACAAAAATACAGTTTATATGTTCACTTATAATACTACAAGAGCTTCAAAATTATCGGGTATTTCCCGATAGGTTCGTTGCAAACAAATGAAGGAGTCAAGTTTTTATGATAAAAGCCCATCAGAGCTAAGCCAGGACGCGGCTAGTTAATATATAGCAATATTATACGTATATATTGAATAAACATTAATAGATCAAAAACTCACCAACAACATTCAATTGAAATGCCAGCGACATCTTGGGTTCAGTATTGACTTGGCACTCGTAGATACCGCCGTCCCTCTCTTGCGGAAACTTTATTTGTAAAGTCCAATTCTCCGATTTGTCCGGTCTGATTACCTGCAGGAGTATTCAATTTAGCTCATAATTTATCTTTGTTGATTGTTAAAGGAAATTGTCGAAAAGGAAACTATATATTTAAACTCGCTGCTGACAGACGTTGACTCAAAGACATGTCTAAAATAGAAAGTTATCTGATTTTAAATCTAGACCATTCCCTAATCCCGAAAAACTTCATAATTTCATCAAGCCGTTTAGGAGGATATTTATATATATATAAATATAACAAATTATGTTCTAACTAAATATATATAATTATATACCTACCTATATTTATAATAAATTATTTAAAAAAGTATTAATCAATATTTAAATACAAGAGTGTAAGACATTGTGTGTGTTTAACAAATAAAGTCTATTTAAAATACGTACAAACTATAAAAAATTAAGCATTAAATATAATTGAGGCCAATTTTTTACTAATTAAAATGTAATTGTTAAGACCCCGATTAATTAATGAAAAGAGGTATTATTCTTATGATAACTAGTAGCTGAGTTACACGAAATTTATTGGAACCTTACTACTGTCTGATTTAAGAAGGCTTTGAGATGCCCTTTAGCCCCTGGTCAAACATCAAATTTAATTAAGTCGAAATTATCAATCCAAATTTAAATCTTTAATTACTGACTTTGTAGTAGCCTTCATCTATGTATATTTTCCATTAGGCAATATAATATAAACATTTCGCTATTGTATCGATAATATATTGTATTGCAGCTGGAAGAGGCCGTATGTGTCACAGGACACGCTGATCACCAAAACCGGCACATCTGATGTATTAGATTAGGTAAGGTTAGTTAAAAAAAAAGTAAATAATACTAAAATTCAGCGGATTATTGAATAATAGGAAATTCAAATACCTGAAATCTCTGATCGGAAGTGTATGTGAGTATTCCAGCTGTTAAAATATGCAGATCCCGTTTTCTTATCCAGGAGACCTGTGAATACATTACGATCAAAACTGTTCTTACTACAGGTGAACGAAGGGATATAACTGCAAGTGTGAGATAACTTTTCTAATCCAAAAAGTATTCAAAGTTAGAGTGTACTCCTCTCTCAAATGCCGGCAACGCACCCACTAAAATGGGTGTCCATGGGCTGCGATGACTGCCCTTTTTGGGAGTCCCATAGGCTCGTTTGCCCCTTATATGCCCCCCATTATAGAAAAAAGTGCTGTTTTCTTCATATTTTTTTTCAAAGAATATTTTACTACGCACAAAATATATTGCAAAGCCGGAATTTGAACACTAACAAATGAACATCGGTGTATAGATTGGCACGCTTTAGCCCAATATACCCTTTATTAAATTACCTTACCCATACATTGTGAGAGTATATGGGTATATAATAAATGATAATTAACGTATTCTCAACGACATTGGTCGTAGCTTAGTCAAAAAGCATTACTATAGGTACAAAACTTGGGTATTTATAAAACAATTTAGCAACATTAAATATTAGTATTTATTACACATAATACAATTTAATAGTGAAATAAAAATTGTGTTGTTAACGGGCGCCTCCCTTCTCAGCGGTCTACTTCATGGATACAGAAGCGTTGAAAAAAACATTACTTAAGATATAAATAACTTTCAATCGCGCACTGTTTTCACTTTTGTCTCTGGTCTTTTTTTGCAATCTACTTGTTGAATAAAAGAATCTCATAATTCCAATATTATGAAAACAACTAAATATGACAGGTTATCAATAAAAACATCACCAGCACTCAAATACTATTACAACTTTGGTATAACATTCCAAGTTTCTTGCAAGGAATTTGCCTCAAAGCCACAAAAACTTCCGGAACCGGAAATCTCAACCGCCGGGAATGCATTTGTTTTTGTCCGGATATTCTGATAATTTCCTCGTATTTTGAATGTTTTGTTAGCAAAATTATTACACAAGAGGAAATTTTGTATCTAAATTTTTCTAAATGTTACTTATGATTAAGTAAACAAATAAAGTACGTCAGCGCCATCAAGTCTGATAAGCAAAGCCTTGAAACTGTTAGGCTTATATTGCGAAAGAACTATCTCACCAGCTCGGCTCACACTTTACTAAACGTGACAATGTTTTATACACAGAACACATATTTTTATGGAAAATAAAAATATAAAACGTACTCTAACACCATCTATTGACAGCATGAAATATCTCTCTCTTAAATCGGCAGCTCGTGTCTGGTCAGTAAGGAAGCATCTGGAGCGGACTATCTGTTTCCATCGGTTTCGGCCCAGCAGGCCTCTTATGACAGTGTACAATTTTGAGGACGATGAGTCTTTCACTTGATCGGTCCATCTGGTTGGTGAACGAAAACTTGATATTTGGCCTTCTGTGTTCAAACACGATCAGTTTCTCTAAGTCTCATCACCTCTGCGCATTGTATGGCGGAAATAACATAGAATTCACCGTCGGAAATATAATAGTTTTACAATCGTTGATCTACGGTGCTACGGTGCTACGCCACTTGTTTATACGGCTTGAGCTAAGGATGTTAAGTATAGGTAATAATTATTGTAATCGGTCGTTTTGCATATAGGATGGTGTGGTACAATACGCTTAACTTCGACGAACACTAGCATTACAGAACTTTCATCTGCACTGGAAACCAGGCATGATTTTGCTGTGAAACGTTTTCGTGTTACGTTCAGGTGATATTTGTAGCAGGATTAAACAGGCTGTGCAAGCACGAAGCTTTTTGCTTGGCCTTAATATATAAGTTTACGTTTTGGTTGTGGGTAATAATTATTCCTTGAGAATAAAAGAAGAACTGGAGAATCAAAATGGTATCAGGATTTGAAAGCGTTATCATAACGAAACTTGGATAATATTGCCTTCGACTCCATCTGAGTTTTTGTCGCGTTTGAAGATATCTTTTATCTAGAGATAAGCTTATTGGCAAGGAAAGGATTATAACTATCAATGACCGCAGAGTACACTTAGGTTTTAAGCATTTCACATAGTTGGAGCTTTCACAGCCCGTTAAAGTTTAAAGCCAAACTTATTTGGAACAAAGGAAATTCTAACGTAACATAATATTTGTTGAAGTCGGAAATTTTGCGAATAAACGTGCTATATAGCTGGTAACCAAAACATGGTTCATGTTTCATATCAACAGTTCATATTTGCGGATGGATAGCGTCACTTGCAATTAGGAACAAAATAATATCTCGCAACTAAATAAGAATGTGACGTAAATAAATAACAGGTATATGGTTTAAAAACAAGAGCAGTGTTGGCCTAGTGGCTCTCATCCCTGAGGTCGTAGGTTCAATCCCATTGGTGTACCCAATGTACTGTCTTTTTATGTTCGCATTTAACATTGACTGGACGGTGAAGGAAAACAGCGGGCGAAAACCAGCTTACTTTATACCGAAAAAAAGTCGACGGCGTGTGTCAGGCACAGGAGGCTGATCACCTACTTGCTTATTAGATTGACAAATCATGAAACAGATACAGAAATCTGAGGCCCAGATCTAAAAAAAAGGTTGTGGCGCCACAGAGTTATTTTTTATTTATTTTTATATACTTTAAAAAAATAAAAAAAATAATCACTGATTCTTTTTTAGTTTTTACTAAATAAATTTATTTTTTGTAATATACAAAATCTACTCCTTAATACAAATCCCAGTTAGGACAGGTACAAGAACTACGCCCAAGATAGGTAGATTTTATACTAGATTTATATGGTTTTTAAGATAGAATCTAATAATCGCACTTCATTTACAAGATTAATACAAAAAGGGGGCTAAATCGAATCAATCAATCAATGGAAGAAAGAGTTCGTGGTTGAAGTTCTATTCCTAAACCGTGTGCACAAGGAATGACGACTGGATAAGGGGACTTTCATGGCATTAACAAAGTATGAACCCAGGTGCTGCAGGAATTAGATCTTTGAATCCCTATGCTTATTCGCCAGAGCTAAAATTAACAAAAATGTGTAGCCTTAGTATTGTCTTTTATTGGCGTAACTTTTACACATTTAAAGAAAACACTTTTTGAACGGATTATAGTTATGTTTAATTATGTAACTTATAATTATTTCACATAATTTAAAAAAAAAACCGACGTTTCGCGTGCTTTACAGCGTGCGTGGTCACGGTTACTGAAGACAAAAGGTGAATGTCAAAAAGTATCACAGCTGTCGAATAAGTTATATTATCTGTATTTATTTCCCCGGAGTTGATATCGACTAAAAGATGAAGGGTTTTTTGCAGAAATGACTCGTGGTGTCTCTATTTTCACAGATTGTTTGATGATGATGATTATGTAAAATAATTATAAGTTTAAATTACATAACTATGATCCGTTCAAAAAGTGTTTTCTTTAAATTTGTAGTCTTAATCAAAATATATAGTGTATATATTTGTATGTAGCAGTAGAATTTGAAATTATTCGCTTCCGGGTCCCAGCTAGTTTCGTTTTAATTAAGGTTAATTAAACGAAAATTGTACACTACTTAGTGCGACGGATTTTCAGCGCATTTCTCGACAATATATTTTAGAATGAGTATTTTTTCGTGTTCCTAAGTGGATGGTGATTACTTGTGTTATAATCCAAATAATTAAAATGAGGTTATTGTTCTAAATATATTTTAATGATAATTACTACACTTGACTTAATGTCCTATAACCGCTAGATGGGGCGGAGGGCGGCCACAGTGATTCTCCATCGCGTTCGGTCTTGAGCCTCTTCACCTCGCTCCAAGTCTTTCCGGCTCTCTTTGCCTCGTCTGCGACTTTACGTGTCTGTTTTAATTACTACTCGGAAGTATTAAAGTTTCAATCGAGTAAAGATTCAAATTAAATTTGAAATGGAATTAAAGAAACCAAAATGAAAGAGAATTTCTCCCTATATTTTTTTAAATTATTACTACTACTCCGATGATTCTGCAAGCCAAAAAGTGTCTTGGCTTTCGAAACGAGAAACTTCCAGCAGTCCCAGCTTTCAGCAGCTGTAGGTCCTCCTGCACTTTGTCGATCAGACAATTTTAACCGCCACAGTAAGATTTTTATTATTATTATACTTTATTTAATTGTTCAGATAAAATAATCCATCATTATGTTAGTATAAACTAACAGACAACACTAGGTTAGTGTATTATTATTAAAAAGCTAAACATAAAACTCATGAAAAAGTCTATGCATACACTCGTCGATTTGAAACTGTTTTAATTTCAATGAAGTTTTGCAAATCAAAAATTATCCAAAATTCAGTTATCATCTTGATTTAGCTAAACAATTTGAGACGAGTATATAATCTTTATTATCAATAAATAGCTACAGCTAACGAAAATGTTTAAATTATGATTAATAATTCTTTTATACCATAAAAAAGCCTACGGGACGCCATAAAAGGGTAGACATCGTAGCCTATGGACACCCATTTTATGGGTGCGTTGCCGACCTGTGAGGGAAAAGTTTGCCCTTTTTTTTTAAGGAAATACCCCCACCGGGAGTCCATTCCACAGTTCGCAAAAGGAAATGGCTTGAGAAAGTGATGCGGATGAAATTTATTAATTTTATTAGAAGCACTGTTGCACTTCAAATTTTCTTTATGTTTCTGTGTACTCTTTATTACCGATGCCTGGACTCGCTTAGTAGCGATAAAGCCGCACTATGCAATATTTTATTTAACCGAATAATATATATTTAGCCTAATACATATCACACTTTTGAACATAATATACACAGAGACAAAAGGATCATCACGCCGGAAAATGGAACTTCGAAACAATTACGTATAAAGCCTTACAATTTGTTTCTCCATTGTCATAAGGATCTCTTAGGCTTAACTCAGGATAGTTGTTACGTGAAATTATTAATTACTGTCTGCGTAGACATGTCTACTTTATTTAATGTGATAAAAGACAATTCTTTACGGCTATATAAAAAACTAAAGAATGTTTAAACACTTTTTTTAAGTCAAGTACTGTTTTGTCTCTTCCTATTAAATTGTGTTTACGCTGTGATGAAAAAAGACAAAAGCTCTTTAGTTAAAACGTAATTACTGATTTATTTACAATAAGCAAGGTAATATGTCTACAGAATTACTTATAGGTAAGCTTAAAATATCTTGGATTATTATAAAAATAGGCGACCAGTGTTGGCCAAGTGGCTTCAGCGTGCGACTCTCATCCCCGAGATTGTAGGTTCGATCCCCGGCTGTGCACCAATGGACTATCTATGTGCGCATTTAACATTCGCTTGAACGGGGAAATCATCGTGAGGAAACCGGCTTGCCTTCGACCCAAAAAGTCTACAGCGTGTGTCAGGCACAGGAGGCTGATCACCTACTTGCCTATTAGGTTGACAAATGATCACAAAACGGATACATTAATCTGAGGCCTAGACCTAAAAAGGGTGTAGCGCCACTGATTTATTTATTTATTTTATTATAAAAGCACGGATTAAAAACAGTGCTTGTATGAGTCTCAACGCCTGAGGTCGTCCGAAACACCAATGGTTTTTGTATACTGGCTCGAACGGCAAAACAACATCGTGAGGAAACCGGCATGCTTACAACTGATAAAGACGTGAATCAGGCATACGAGATCAATTTTTACCTCAAGTAATTTAGGATATTCTGGTAACAAAAATGTCCCAATTAAGATAAAATATTCTAAGTGAAAAAGAAATAATTCAGGTACAAAACCCTGTTGGCGTTTGGTTCTGACCGCAATGCCATAATCTTGGATCGGCATCCAACTTCTTTTTCATATCTCACTCTAAGAGCTGGTGTGTTTTGCTGAAATAAACCCCAACATACCCTCGAAGTTTTAGCACCTATTTAAATTTGTACATTACAGAACTTACAGCTTTATCTCCAAGTTGTTCGACTCGACAATGTAGGAAGGCGGTCTGTCCCACCACCGTGGTCACATTCCGCGGCACATTGTATTCGAAGTACGGGAATGAGCCGACACTGTCTTCGCCGTAATGCGCCGTGCCTGGAATTAAGAGAATCTTAATTAATTACTTTCCATGGATTGCAGACAACTTTTTAATTCAAATTATTTATAATACAGTTGGTAATCTTAAAATATACTTAACTATGTTAACTCAGCCTAATATGATTAAATGTTAATCACGATTGCTAACTAAAGATTATTAGCGTAGAGAAGAGTTATAAAAAAGTTACTGGAGGTAAATGTTAAGAATACCGTGGACAGCGTGGCGCACCAATACCGATCGATCTTGTCTGAACTCCGAGTACTATGGACTCGCCTATCAATCATATGCCGACCACGATTCTCATGTTTCAGCCATACAATGCGAGAGAGAACTTGGAGAAACTCAATGTGGCTGTGAACACAGAAGACAAAAGATCGCGGGCGTTTCGCCAACCAGAGTCAAGTGACCCATCGTTCTCAAATTATACTCTGTTAAAAGAGAGGCGTTGGACAGAGACCAGTGCAAAAAAGATAGTGCGTTCCAGATATTTCCTTGCTAAACATGCTTAGACGCTACTGACCGAGGAGAGAGAGGTTTCTGTCTGAGGACATTAAGCAGAGCTTAATTTAAAACATATAATTTATGTATGGCTCACATTTTTAATAATTAGGGTGATTAAAAAATCCGTGTACTTACAGATAACACTGATTCTTTAATCGTCGGAACCAAACTCGTGATGAGTGGCGATTTGACTAAAAGATGAACGCGTTTACTCTTTCAGAATCTAGACTTGACTAGACGAGATTATAAGGGATTATATATTATTATAACATACCCAAAAACTATGTGCGGTACATTTGTCTAATGCAGGCGAATTTCCAGTTTAAACTAATATTATTAATGCGAAATGGAGTTTAATACACTTTCGTGCTTACGGTAGTTTTAATGAATTTTGGCTTAACGATATTGCAACTTTTAAGTCTGAAGGTTTAGGCTATCTAAACCATGCCACACTGGTATATAATGAGATATTATGTATGAATTTTTGGGTTTAATTTTCGGTTTTACATTTAGCTCTCGCTCTACGAACCTAATGTAGACTAGGTATATTAGACAAAGTAGTTTCCTCCCAAACCTTTCCTTTTCCATAAGAAAACAACTATTCTATTCGGATGCTGAACTTTGAGTCTCACCACTTTTTATCAAGTTAAAAGCTCACGCAGCTCCACGTATGTCGGCCTTGATACGGAGACTGTAGGTACCCCCACTGGCAGGGAATCCATTAACACGTCACTATCCCTACTCGCCCCTACAATGGCGCCACGGGGTTCACGTCGCAACACTAAGCAAAAACTGAGACGTTGCTGAAAATATTACCAACGATAATCCATTACTTTATTAGTACCGCTTTAAGTGATTACGAGCTTTAAGCGGAATAGAAAAACTCGGGTAGCTTTGAAAGGGTCCATCGTAAGTGTAACGAAGTGGAAATTGTTTCCTTATCCTGGTTCTATTTTGTTGCATATTTTTACTTCATTCGCGATGGACAATTGTATACAAGTTGTATATATAATTCTATTTACACGTAAATCACGAACAACTTGGCTGACTTTAAACCTGCGTTTGACGCCAAGAATTTGGGTGTTTTTCTATACCCAATTAACATGGCTCGTCCGGCGTAGGAAAACATCGGGGCACCAATTTCGGAAGACAGAATTTCCGTGTAGGTTATGTTATTAATAATAAAGAGATATATGATATCCAAAATGGTGTGTACTTTTCCTATGGTACAATGTAATTGGTTAAAAAATCAACAAACAAATTCTCAACAAAAACATCACGAGGCTTCGTACGTAAAAGCTTAAAAACAAACATTTACGGAAATTACGACGCGGCGCCTGCGATTCAATTGCATTTCCAGATTTGCGTAGCAAAATTACTCAAGCTCTGAACTTGAACTTTTGAATCTGCCCCAATAGGATAAAATAATTTAAATTAAAAGCCTTATACCAGACAGATACACATTTTATTATAAAAAGCAAGAAAATGAGATGTGAATTGCTATTTAAGTCTAGCAATTTGGCTGAATGACGCGATAAAAGGGTCAGATGTTGAATAGTGAATACGCTTTTGAAATTGTAGGAATTCCACTACATTTAAAATGAGGCTAATCTTTCGTTTGTAACTTCATTTCACTGTTAGAGCATATGAAAGTCTTTTATTTACGCTTGTTTTACACGTTATCATATTCAAGCGGTATAGTGACGCCGTTCGCAGTAAGCAAATTTTTCATTGCTTTAGTGGTTGCACCAGACTCCAGATTGGGTCACAAATATATATATGTCGGAACATGTGATTTCGGTAGCTTTGTAGTAGATTTTTTTTTGGTTAAACATTATATATAACTTAAGGGGTTAACACATAAAACATAGAAATATATTAAACGAACAGGAGAAAACATATTTCATACCATACATATATAACATATATCTTAGATTTATGGAGCCCATCACAGGTTGTCCAATAACTACCTTTAAAATATACCCTAGCAATTGTAATTAATTTAGAGATTTGTGGGTAAAAATTAATCAATTATGAATTTATGGATGCGAATTTATTACATTTATGTATATAAATAAAACCGAATAGAAAAATATGTTCCTAAGCGCAAAAACTCGAAGACGGCTGGACGAATTCGAGTACTTTTTATTTATTCTTTGAAGGTTTTAACGGAGAACTATTACACAAAAAACCCTTAAAAACCAGCTTTTATTCAGGAAAAGCGAATAGTCTCCATATAGCTAGCAAAATGTTCCATATGTAGAATTAATTTAAAACAATCCTATATTAGGGCGAAACAAAGTTCGCGAGGGCAGTTATATATATTTTGTGCCACGTAGCGAAGATGTTCAAATAGTCAGCTAACAAATATCAGCAGTCCCTCCCTTCGATTGCAAAAAGCAAAGAATTATGATAATAAAAATAGCACTCGTAAACACTTTAATTTTTCTCGTACTAGAAGCGGGCTAACAGTTTGCCCACGTAGAGTGGACGACAGATATCCCACGCAATTCGACACGCCTCAATAACAAAGTTTCATTATTTACTATATATTTCGATGTTTACTTGTAAATAAATATGTTTGGGTTATTAAAAACTTATAGTGCATGCTTATGAAAAATCCTATTCGATTTAATTGAGATTTTGAAGAGCCTTGATCGCATAAGGAAAATTTTTTGATCGCATAAGTTATGTGGCAGAATAGCACCAATTTATTTATATTTAAAAAAAAACAAATGAGAGAACGATTTGTTATTTCTATATTTATCACGGGTTCTCTTAAGTGAAACATATTTCATTTCCAAAAACCTAATAATAATTGATTTATTCATTTAATTCATAAAAATTTATTTTAACTAACTGTTACAATATTGTCCTAAATACTAATCCTTTTAGGACTTGTACATAATTAAATATATCAATTATTATGTGATTACGTTTCTAATAACGTATGTCGTGTATGGCTTCAGGCTATCCCTGAGGTCCTAGGTTCAATCGGCTGTGCACCGATGGTCATGTCTATCCGCTCATACAGAAGGAAAACATGGTGAGGAAACCGGCAGGTCTCAAATCCAAATCGACGATTTATGTCAGACTCACCTATTTGTCTATGAAATAAAAATTGTCAAAGAAACGGATGCAATCTATGGTTGTAGCGCCAATGGATTAGTATCATTAATCTATCATATTTATTTTTAAGTCACTTAAACTTTACAAATGTAAACCCAAAATCAAGTGCTTTCCTTTGAAGTGAAGTTACGGTAAGTTATGGTATGGTAAGATGGTGAGTTATTGGATTTGACACGTGGAAGTCCCTCTCCCTACTGTCTTAGTGACAGGGAATAAATTTAGTAGAAGAACCATTTTTGTCACCGCCCTTTTATACACGAAACAAAGTCAAAGTCAAAAATCATTTATTCATGTAGGCAACACTTATGAACGTCTTAAAAGAAATACATATTAAATGCTTCTAATATACATTTACTGATTTCTCAAATCAAGGGCGTAGAACGGAAGAGAAGAACTGGCAATAAACTCTTTTCAACATTTGCTCTACTCAACAATTACTTACAACTCGACAGGGTCATAAGTGCATGTTATAGTCCATACATTTGTTAGCTGTGTAAGCAAATCGCGCGTGTCACTTGAACCCCGTTAGCGACATAATAATCAGTGTAACTGCGGGGCTTCGAGTTATAAGCTGTTCATTCCTCATATGAAGCCTTAGTTCAGTCTAATTAATTTATAGTGTATTTTTCTTGTTAGTATTTATTAGGCTATTTATTTGATCCCCAACGTTCCATTCACGCACCGCGTATGCCGCCGTATTCATAACATATAAATCAGTGTATTAGTACTCTTTTAACTATTTCGTATGTTATATTGTGTTTTTGCTGCGATAGAAAAGTATATAAGTATTATAGTTAATACTGAGCAATAACACTGAGTTCCTTAATAATCTGTGTGCCTAAAGTTTCGGAAAGCAGTTTTTATTCCAGCAATTGAAACCATTGAAAATTTTATTTATTTAATTTTTTTATTGTTTTTGATATTCTCTCATTTTATTTTTTATTTTTTCTCTTTGATTATTGTTATTTTATGTGTTTATGTGTGTGTGTTTTTGTTTGTAATAAATGTTATGTCTATGTCTAAAATATTACAAATTTTTCGTCTATCATAATATTCTAAAGAAATATTTGTTTTCGTTTGAAAGGATTAAATTCGTAACGGATCGAATTTAAACATTCTTTCACCAATATACGACGTCATGCCATAATAACATGCTATTTTTAATCCCAAAGTAAAAAATGTTCAAACGTGCGAAAAAATTATAAAGAAAGAGGCTCACCTGATGGTAAGCCGCCGCCCATGGCCACTCTTAATGCCAGAGGGCTTGCTAGTGCGTTGCCGGCCTTTTAAGAATTGGTACGCTCTTTTCTTGAAGGACCCTAAGTCGAATTGGTTCGGAAATACTTCAGTGGATAAGAGATCCTCTGAGAGTGGATAAGATGTTGTTTTTGTTTGCAAAAAATTCCATACAGAACGATTTCAAAAATTATTTCTACATTCTTTATGCTTTAGTAACATAGGCTATATTTATTGAAGTTATACTTCTTTAGGCGCGTTATGAAAAATTGATGAGAGTGAAATTTTACGAGGCGCGCACCCCGACACAAAATTAACAAAATGACGTTGCCCACGGAAGATGCTACGGCATTGGACATAATTTAAAAACAACATTCGAACAATAATAGAATTTATATTATACTTAATGTAAGAGAATAATAATAAATATTTATTTATTTAATTTTTCAAATGTAAACTGAACTTTATTGACTATAATGACTCCTTTTCCAGTCTTTGATTATTTAATTTTAATTATTTGCATGCAATCAAAAACTATTTTTAATAATGCCAAAGAAGTATAACTTCTTACGCGTGTACATAAGTACACGCACCCTTTTTTTCCAAAGTAAATGTACAATCGTGCGAAACAATTAATTAGTTTTTGTTGCAAATTTCACAAACGTGTTGATTAAAGGGCATCATGCAATTCAATTTACACTTAACCAGAGATTTGACACTTACTGGACGTAAGTGTTACTAATGGTTAGCAATATGCATGTGTAGCAATAGAACCTTCAATTAAGGGTTGTCTACGCAGCTAAAATAGCTGCTCCTCAATTTTCGTTTCCCATAGATATAATGTTACAGCTTTTAAGGCTGGGGACACACAAACATGTATCCCATTTCATCACTACGCGAATAGATGAGTTTTTATAACTATTTGCCATGCATCGGACGTCAAGGCAGAATACAAAATACCATCCGTATCACTTCGACGTCCGTCGTTCCACAACTGAGCGTTTCTTAAGGCAGTTTTTGCCGTGCACCACCACTATGTGAAACCAGCTGCTTATTGAAGTATTTCAAAGCAATCGGCTTAGAGCGTACCAAATCTTAAAAGGCCAGCGTAACGACAAAAAAAATGTCGAGAAATGTTTCATTTGACCAATGCGAGTTTTTTTTTCCACTAATTTAGTATATTTTTTTTAACATTTGGTTTTATTAAGTGTGTTTATGCATTTGCGTTATTAAGTTTACAAGGCAGTGTTGGCCTAGTGGTTTCAGCGTGTGGCTCTCATCCCTGAGATCGGAGGTTCGTTCCCTGGCTGTGCACCAATGGACTTTCTTTCTATGTGCGCATTTAACATTCGCTCTAACGGTGAAGGAAAACATCGTGAGAAAACCGGCCTACTTTAGACTCGATCGTGTCGAGATCGTAGTTTTTGTAAACAAAAACGGAAATGATAAAAAACGGTGTTAGTTAAAAAAGTTTTTAAAAAGTTGTTCGGATTCAACCGTCACTAAGTACTTTAAAATTACTAAACTCGGAGAAATAGGTGTCAATCCTAATTTGTTCCAACTTTTACTGAGTAGGGATGTCTCTGATACTGTGAATTTATTTAGAAGTTACGCCAGTTTGGGTTAAACCCCTCAACGCTGAAGAAACGGTTAAAAAAACTATTATATGTTTAAAAAAGTAACCTAAATTTCAAAAATACTGAGGGTTGAATAAAAACATCCGCCATCTTGTCTTTCCTCCATTATATATTTCAGAAATAATGTAAATCTCTTATTACGATGTCGTTTGTTTTATTAGAATGGCAAAACCACGAAATATCATAGACTTCATACAGGTTGTAAATTGTCAATGTGTCAAAGTCAACTTGTCAGTATAGCGTTCGATCGTTGAGTTTAGTTGCTCTGTGATCGGCGCCTACGCTGGACTTGCACTCTGACTTATTTTACAATAAAATCCAAATGTACGACGATAGTGACAAACTATCTGGCTAATATTAATGGCACCGAATCAGCAATATAAAAGTTCACGCATAATATGTTCAAAAATCGAGTATACTCCTCCCTAAAAGGCCGGCAACGCACCCACTAAAATGGGTGTCTATGAGCTGCGAAGACTGCCCTTTTTCCCGCAAGCTCGTTTGCCCCCCTATTATAAAAAAAATCTATTTTAGATTTGGGGACCATTTTAAGTAAAAGACCTAACAGCTAAACACCTCAACGCTGAATTATCAGTTTAAAAACATTTAAAAATTCTTTCATATTTTTTTTAAAGTTCAGCGGCGTTTATCGTTCGTATACGTACGGACGTATACGTCACAATGATTAGCACATCTCTATTTCACTCAGGTCGACCCTTAAAATTAAGGCCCCGGCTGTCCCGTATTACACGAGATATTGTCCCCGTCCCAAATAATTTCTTAATCAACTCACCTTTGTTCGTGCTAATCGCGTAATTTGGCATTCTATTTGGGGACAAACAGAATAACAAAAAACATTAACAAGCTAACATCAACGTGTATTTAAAAAGCAATGCAGTATTGTTTGAGATTACGATATGTTTTCGACGGTAGATATATATGCATACATCTAGTGGTTGACACTCTAGACCAGTGTTTACCAACGTGGGGCCCACGCCCCACAGGGCGGCAATTTGATTGTTAAGGGGTGGTTATTCGAAAATTAATTAAAATTATTTGTAATATAAGACACAGAGTTCAATAAAAATATTAGTTGGAGACTTAGTTTACTTTTATTTTTTCCCATTATCATTCCAATTTCAAAATCGATAACACCCCAATAAAACAAGTAAAATTAGTAAAAGACCTGGGAATACTATTAGATGAAAAAATGGGCCTATCACAACATATCGATGACATAACAGGCAAAGCGTATATGCAATTTATTAAGCGGTCATGCAAGACATTTAATAACATACATTGCATTAAAAGCTTATATTTTGCTTATGTTAGAAGCGTGCTGGAGTATGCGGGTGTTATGTGGTCTCCATATTATACAAAGTATAAAAAAGCAGTAGAAAATATACAAAAAAAAGTTTGTAAAATTCCTTTGTTTTAAAAAATACCAATGCTTTGATAGTTATGCACATTCTTGCAAATATTTTAATTTAGACTCATTAGAAAGTCGGCGAAATCAGCAAGACCTGCTTTTTTTTACACGCTATTCTTAATGGGCGGATCGATAGCCCCTATTTGCTGTCGTTAATTTCTTTTTTAAATTCCTTCCCCTTATGCGACAAGAAACACAAAATTGTTCCATATGCCTCATACGAACTCGAATTACCTGCATAATTCACCAATGTTTCGGGTTTTATCTAACTATGACACTAATTTTGAGGATATTGATATTTTCCACTTCACCAAGGAACATGTGAGAAAATATTTGAAGAGGCGGGAAGACTCTAATTTTGTTTAGGTAGTGATTCGAAATATTTAGTATTATTTGTTGTTTTAAAAAAATATTTTTAAATAAAAATAATATTTTAAAATTTTAATAATAAAATTAATTCAGATCAAGATGTAGATAATAATATATTAAATTTCAGTTTATTTATATAGTTTTGTCTATTGATGCGCTTATTTGTTTTATTTTTCGTATATAATATTGTTTATCTATGTAATCTGTTTTGGCTTTCTGTACTAAGTGTTGTTTTATAATATTATGTATGTTAGCTGTAAGATTACTTATAATTAAATAAATAAATAATTTTCCAAGTATACAATTAAGATTGATAAAGCGATTTTTATACCCTTAATGGAATATTATTCAAATTTTTTTAGTTAAATGTCTATAATGTGAAAAAAAGTTTCACTTTTACCGTGGTTTCATTAAACCACACAATCCTTTTTTTTTATTATATGTTTTGAAAGTTTACCGTGTTTTGTTAACAATTTATTTCTAAACCTAATGAGAATGACACAAGAAAGGTTGGGAAATACTGCTCTAGCGGCTAGCCGATAATTTTCTTAATAGGTGAGGTAGGCCAGCTTTTGTCACATCTCTTAAGGTGCGCTTACACGAGGGCAATAATTGCTCGGCGACACGAATGGACCGATCTGGAGCAATTAATGGAGCAATTTCAATAAATTCAATAAATTGCAATAAATTATTTCGGCGATATTGCTTCTAATTGCTCCAGATATTTCATATCGCTCAATGTCGCAGATACGAATTGACGAATATCCAATGGTATAAAGTAATTCAA